TTGTCAATGCTGCTTTACAAGGCCTACTTCGAGGAGGCGGAAACCAATTTGGGGGTGGTGTGAACCTCGCCCCCATGGCACAAAAGCTGAAAATTCCTGAGCCAAAGCCATACAGTGGAGCTCGGAATGCCAAAGAAGTGGAAAACTTCATTTTTGACATCGAGCAATACTTCGATGCCGTGGGAGGCCTAGAAAAAGCTAAGAATGTAGCAACTGCTGCCATGTATCTTCAGGGTGATGCCAAACTCTGGTGGCGAGTGAAGTACGAAGCCATCAAGGCTGGTGAAGATGCCCTCGATACATGGGCAGAATTGAAGGCAGCCATACACCTACAGTTCTTCCCCAAAAATGTTGGTACAATGCCAAGAGAAAGTTACGAGACCTTCGCCAGACCAAATCAGTGCGAGATTATCTGCGGGAATTCTCTGCGCTCATGTTGAACATCCGTGACATGGGGGACAAAGACAAAATCTTCACCTTCCTAGAAGGGTTGAAACCTTATGCCCACATGGAGTTGCAGAGGCAAAGGGTAGACACCTTGCCTAAGGCAATCCAAGCAGCAGAGTGCCTTGGGGATTACCAAGTGGAAGCCCGGAAGGATAGGCCTCAACAGCCTGTCCGAGGAGGATACAAAGGGGGCCAGCCAAACACTGGTAGCCCTAGCAGAAGTGGAGGAGACCGGAGTGCACCCAAATCTAAGGCTCCCTATTCAAACAGTAATGGTGTTGTATCTAACAACAATGATCGGGGGAGGAAGCCCCCCTCTGGATGCCGTCAATGTGGCAGACCACATTGGAATAATGAATGCCCACATGCACAGATGAATGCCCATCAAGCTTTTGAGGATGGGACGGATTACGACGCTGATGATGCGGACCAGACCGAGCCAGTAGGTGCATTCATTGCAATTGTTGGCTCCATTTCTGAGCCCTTAGCGGGAACCAGTGCCGGTAGCCGCGAAGAAGGACCCCTGTCCAATTTCCAAGAAAGGAAAAAAGAATGCGAACAAAAGGACTCCTCCTCATCAAGAGAGGACCTTAATGTTCGTTGACATGAAGGTAAATGGAAAGCCCATTCGGGCAATGATAGACACGGGTGATACCCACAACTACTTAGTCTCGACTCAGGTGGAGTGCCTTGGACTAGTTGTAGGAAAGGGCAAAGGTCTTGTGAAGGCTATCAACTCACCACCTCAACCAGTGGGTGGAATAGCCAAAGAAGTACCAGTGAAGCTTGGCCCTTATGAAGGAAAATTCAACCTGCGCTTAGTGATCATAGATGACTTTGAGTTAATAGTGGGGCTGGAATTTCTGAGACAGGCCAATACCATGCCCGCACCATATACAGACATGATACTGATGATGGGAGCAAATGGGGCCAAGCCCCGCATTATTCCGTGCATGCCCATGAAGATGGCCGCCGAGAACATCTCGGCCTTGCAGTTGAAGAAGGGGGTCAAAAGACATGAACCCATGTTCTTGGCTACCCTTTGCATGGAAGATATTGAGTGCTCCTCAGGTCCCATTCCTGCACCCGTGAAGGAGATGCTACTGGAATTTGAAGACATAATGCCAGAAGAAATGCCAAAGCGACTCCCGCCTAGGTGCACTGTGGACCATGAGATTGAGTTGGTGTCGGGGGCGAAGCCACCTGCCCGGGCGCCATACATAATGTCACAACCCGAACTCACCGAGCTTCGGAGACAATTGACGGAAATGCTAGACACAGGGATCATTGTGCCCTCCAAGTCCCCATATGGGTCCCCTGTGTGTTTCCAAAAGAAACATGATGGTATTTTACGACTCTGCGTGGATTAACGGGCTCTAAACAAAATCACCGTGAAAAACAAGTACCCTATTCCGCTAATGGCAGACTTGTTTGATAGACTGGGTGGTGCGACGGTATTCACCAAAATAGACCTGAGGACAGGTTATTGGCAAGTTCGGATTGCAGAGGGTGATGAGCACAAGACGACCTGTGTGACAAGATATGGGTCGTACGACTTCCTGGTTATGCCCTTTGGCTTGACTAACGCGCCAGCCACATTTTGCACCTTGATGAACGAAGTCTTCCGAGAATACATTGATGAATTTGTCGTGGTTTATTTGGATGACATTGTGGTATATAGCCAGATACTAGAAGAACACCTGGAGCATTTGCGGAAGGTCCTAGCCCGATTACGGGAGCACGAATTATATTCAAAGCTATCCAAGTGCTCCTTTACTCAGAAACAAATTGACTTCCTTGGATATGTCATCGGGGAAGGGCGGATCAAGATGGACCAACAGAAGATTCAGGCCATCACAGAATGGCCTCCTCCTAAGGATATCCACGCCTTGAGGTCGTTCCTTGGCCTATGCAACTTCTATTGGCGTTTTGTGAAAAGTTACTCCCTCATTGCAGTGCCGCTGACAGAACTCCTCAAGAAGGTCACACCGTGGGATTGGGGCCCCAAGCGGGCAGAGGCCTTCGACGCTTTGAAAATGGCTATGTCTAGTATCCCCGTCTTGGCCCTCCCTAACTTGGCCAAGCCATTCGAAGTGCAAATGGATGCCTCCGACTATGAACTTGGTGGAGTATTGCGACAAGAAGGGCATCCTGTAGCGTACAAGAGCCGGAAACTGAAGGATGCAGAGCGGGGCTATGCCGCCCATGAGAAAGAATTATTAGTTGTCGTTCATTGCTTACGCCTTTGGAGGCAGTATCTATTGGGAGCCCAATTCATGGTCAAGACAGACAACACAGCCGTTAGCCATTTCATGACCCAACCAAAGCTGAATGGTCGACAGGCTAGGTGGCAGGAACTCCTAGCGGAATTTCACTTCAACATGGAGTACCGAAGTGGGAAGACCAATCATGTTGCTGATGCACTCAGTCGGAGAGCTGATCTAGCATTGGTGCGTGTACTCGCCGCCCTAAAGGGAAACGAAGTAACCACCACCATAAAAGACCAGATACAGGATCTACTCATCAAGGATCCTGCTGCACAGTATTTGGTTGATTTGGTAGGACAGGGCAAGACTCGCCAGTTCTACACCGAAGATGGTTTCCTGAAAGTGAAAGGGAACCGACTTTATGTTCCTAAAGGAGGAGATTTGCGAAGGGCTCTTCTGGCGGAATGCCACGATACTTTGTGGGCCGGTCATCCAGGTGAGGAACGCACCATGGCATTGCTTCGCCGTGCATATTATTGGCCCCAAATGGTCGACGACGTCGCTCAGTACGTGAAGACTTGTCTAGTATGCCAGAAGGATAAGTCAGACCGCTTGAAGCAGGCAGGGCTCTTGGAACCACTAGCTGTCCCAAAAAGACCTTGAGAAAGCGTTTCCCTGGACTTCATCACCAGATTGCCCAAGGTCGGAGATCTCACAACTATCTTGGTTGTAGTGGATCTGTTTTCCAAGTATGCTATCTTTATAGCAGCCCCACAATATATATCAACAGAAGACACAGCTTGACTATTCTTTTCTCATGTCGTCAAATATAGGGGCCTACCTAAAGACATTGTTAGTGATCGCGACTCACGCTTCACTAGCAATTTTTGGACCCAACTCTTTAAGTGTCTCGGGTCAAAATTGAGTCATAGCTCAAGTTTTCATCCGCAATCTGATGGCCAAACGGAGCAATTCAATGACATGCTAGAGGAATATCTCCGACACTTTGTGACCGGATCGCAGAAGAATTGGGTGAAGCTTCTGGATGCTGCTCAGCTGTGTTTCAATTCACAAAAGAGCTCAAGTACCAACAAAAGCACTTTTGAAATTGGTACGACAGCAACCGCTATTCCACACACAGTGAACGCACCAAACATGTCAAAATCTCCTCGGGCTGCTAGCTTCTCAAAAGAATGGATGCAAAATTTGGAGATAGTGCGGAGCTATCTTGTCAAAGCCCAAAAGAGGATGAAGAGGAATGCTGATCAGAATCGCCGCTTTGTTGAATACCAAGTGGGGGACAAAGTGATGGTCAAAATCCCAAAGCGGTACTTGTTTGCAGGGGTCCATGACCCTCGCCTATTGCAAAAATATATTGGACCCTTGTCTATTAAAAAGCGCATTCGGAAAGTTGCATACCGGGTGGATACCCCAGCTTGGTGGAAAATCCATCATGTTTTCCATGTCA